CCTTCCCCGCATTTACAACTTACCACCTTCTGTCATACTGACGAAATGTAGCGACACAACATGGGTTTGCGACTTTCCACGTGAAGTGAGATCCACTCCACACCTCTGACATAGGGTGGGTAGGGTTATTTTTAACGAAGTGGAGCCCCCCCGTAGGGGGGGCGGAACATACTGGCTCCATGCATGTACTTCCATGACGTACGACAGATGGAGATGGGAGGAGAGATATAAGATTTAGTGTCCATCATTTTTATCGAAAACTGTCACTCGTATAGTAAAAATGAATAGGACATAAAATGTATATTTTAAAGAGATCTACAACTTTTGTTTAAAACATTTTTCAAAATTGTTAATATTTGTGTCTAAAAATTACATATAATTGGTTGACATTGTTTTTTTAATAACTTTTTAATAAACAACGAGCGCCGGCTAAATCCTTCTGAGGGTTACTCAGGAGGGTGACCTCTATAATATATGTCAAGCCCAAGGTTATTGGAGGTGGGTGTGTTAATCTAAATAATTACCCTAAAAATAATTATATTAATTATAATTTTATATATAACTTATAAAATAAAGATTATTTGCTATTTGTAACATATTTTTATATAATTATAAACCTTTAAGTAATATTTATAATAATTTTTTATAAAATTTTTACCTCGATAGGTCTCTTCTCTTTTTAATAAAATATATTACTTAATATCGTTTTATCGTTTCCCTTTCACAATTCATGCGCACGTTATCTCTAAGTGTATGTATGTATCTTTATTCTGCGGTGCACAGAATACGGGCTACCGCTCCGTTTACAGTCTTCCTCCTCTACTTTCTCCGCTCGCTTTTTCTTACTCCTACGCCATTTCTTATTCTCTAATTTCTCCACCGAGAGAGAGAGAACACCCATTCTCCGCGTCCTCAAACACTCTTTCATTCATTCCTCCATTCATCCTGGCTCCCGTTTCCGCTGCTCTTTCCTTCCATTCCATCTTCTCCTCTTTCTCTTCCTCCTCTATCCTTCCCATTCTCCACTCTTTTTCATCCATATCTCTCCCTCCCCTTTCTCCCCTAGTACTACTTCTATCATTTCCTGCCATCCTCTTTCCCTCCCCCACCCTGTACACTCGTCCCACACATGTTCCCACGTCTCCTCCTCTCTCTCACATACCCTGCATTTCCTTTTTTCTGCATCCTCCCAGTATCTCCCCTCTCTCATTTCCTCCCTAATCTATACCTAGCTACCCTCTGCCACCTTTCCTCCTTCCATCCCTTTTTTAAGTACTCCGGTATCCCTTTCCCCTTTATCCACTTATACCACCTATTCCATCTTGATTCCTCAATTTTCTTCCATCTTTCCTCCTCCTGTCCTTTTCTCTCTTTTTCTACTATCTCCTCTCCTCTTACTTCCCCCCTCTCTCTCCTCCTTTCCACCTCCTCTATCTTCCACCCCTTTTCCTCATAAAAGTCCCTTCTTTCCCTCTCCCATTCCCCTCTTACCTCCCCCTTTTTCGCTCTCTCTCTCCACTCCTCCCAGCACCACTTTTCTATCTCTCCTCCTCTTCCCTCCCCTAGCTTCCTTTCATATCCCCATGCTCTCAACCCTGCCTTCCCTCTTATCTTCTCTCTCATCAGTTCTTCTCTTACCATATATCCCGGCGTATTCCAACCTACTCCTATTATCCATCTCAAATACCTGTCCTGTAATCTCTCCACCTCTTCCCTTTCTCTCCACCCCCATATCTCCACCCCGTAACTCACCACCGTCCATACCAGCTTATCAAACAACCATATTCTCCTTGCCCAATCGTTCCCAAATTTCCTTTTCCCTATCCCTCATACTTCCCTCATTACCACCGCCCCCCTTCTTACCCTTTCTTTTATATGTTCCGTGCACTTCCCATTTGCCATGATCATGTTCCCCAAGTATTTATACTTCCTCACCTCCTCTAATTCCCTCCCTTTCCATTTCCAGCTCACCTTTTTCCATCTTCCACCTCCTTTCCTGCATCTCACTATCTTCGTCTTCTCTACGTTCACCTCTAACCCCTTCTCCTCCATGTATTCCTCCAACCTTTCAATCATCCTAGTCATTCCCCCCTCACTCTCTGCCACCACTGCTACATCATCCGCATATGCCAATGTCCATACTTTCCTTCCTCCCACTTTTACCCCCCCCCCATCCTTCTCTCTCCAATATCTCGTCCATGTCTGCTAACATTAATGTGAACAGACATGGACTCAGCGGGCACCCCTGCCTTACTCCCCTTCCTGTCCAAAAACTCCTCCCCTCTTTCTCCTCTACCCTTACCTTGCACTCCGTCTCCCTCAGGATCTCTTCGCATCTTTCTATTAGTCCTTCATTTACCCCCCTTTTCCTCATATTTTCTACTAAGATTTCTCTGTTTACCGAGTCAAAGGCTGCTTTCAAATCCATGAACATCACCACCATCTTCCCATCTTTCTCTTCAATCTTCTTGTTTATCATATAGTTCAGTCCGTATATTTGCCCCACTGTCCCCCTGCCCACCCTTTTTTGTTTTCGTGTGGAAATCCTTTATGGATACCCGGGCCCCCCTCTGGGAAGGGAGTTTACAAATGGCCCGGGTTATGTGGGACTGCCCCCCTAATGACGATCGGGGTGACGCCGCTAGACGTTGCGGCGGCTGGGCTTACCGCACTAAAACCACACGGTGACCTGCGCGGTGCTTTACTTGGGGGACGCCCAGGATGTAGCAGAGCTATAACTTCTGGGCGCCCCCCGCACCGGCCCGCCGTTTAACAGGCAGGCCTTGCGCTCCCTCCACCGTTGTTGTGGGGGAGGGGGACTCCCCCCGCGGGGGGAGTCCACTACTCTTCTGGGCGTCAGAGGCGGTCACAACCTCTGCCGCCCGCCTCCGTGGAGGCAGGGCCTGACGGGAATCCCAGCCCGCCAGGCCCAGGCCGCCTCCCCCCGTTGACTTTGGGGGGAGGGCCCTCTCCTAGCCGCCTCGGCAACTGTCCACCCACTAAAC